CCGGGAACCAGTTTGGGACTAGTCCGAAACTACTTACCTTCGGACCAGTTGGGCCCAGTTGGTCTTTTTAAGCTCCTGTGGCCGTTTTAAGGGTAATTCTTGGGCTCCTGCACTGCCGCTCGGGGTTTCTGCCTTCTACGGTGGTAATTTTGGGCCGGGTTGCCTGTTTTGGCGGATTGTTGTGCTGTGTGCGGCATATTACGTGTACCGGGTACCACTTTCTCGAGCGAATTGCTCTGGGGAACCTGTTGTGTGAGTTGCTGGCTTTTTGGCTAGACTTTGAGGAGGGTTTATACACGCATATCGGCGGAAATAGACGACACGCCATTTCTTTAAATAAAATTAATTGGTGCTCGTTTGTATGTACATACTATGTAAATGCATGTGTGTGCACATTTCTATTAATATCGTTGAATTATTTTAATATCTATTGCAAAATTTTATTCAGAGAGGACTAAAAAGTAGAAAATAAATAATATAAAAAAAACTTTTTAATATACAACGCTTTTATAAATGGACTAAAAAGTAGAAAATAATACTTCTCAGTCCCATAGAATTTGTTTTGATAACTTTTGATTTTGAAATTTTAGCAAAAGTCATTATAAACAATCTATGAAATCGAAAATGAAAAGCGTGGGGCGCATGTAATACACTTGAATTGATATGAAAAGTAATATATGAATGTATCTATGTGGGTATATGAATAACGACCGCTTAAAATCGATTTCAAAGTTCTACTTTCGCTGTAGAAATTTTAGGTCTACGTTATGTAGTTTGACTATTGTCAATTAAATCGAATGCTTTGTATTGCGTGCGCTCCACGTTTTTCATTTTCAATTTCATAGATTGTTTATAATGACTTTTGCTAAAATTTCAAAATCAAAAGTTATCAAAACAAATTCTATGGGACTGAGAAGTATTATTTTCTACTTTTTATTCCATTTATAAAAGCGTTGTATATTAAAAAGTTTTTGTTATATTAATTATTTTTGTTAAACATACAATTACTTCCATTACAACCCGGTCCTATGGATGCTAGAAGCGCGAATTCATATAGGGTGGTGTTGCCGGAAAATGAATAAATAAATTATATTAATTACATTGAAAGTTTCTGGATCCACAACATTGAAAGCTTCTGGAACACAACATTGCAAGTTGATAAAAGCGTTGTAAAATGAAAATGTTTATAATGCATTATAGATCCTTACGAATTCGCCATTACCAAGGCAATAAGTAACGTTCGCAATTTTGTTTGCAAAATGCATTTATTTAAGTTGAAAGAAGACAAATTCCTTTGTTCAGCATTTATTCTTACTCCGTTTCTATCTTCCAAGGTGAATTCATATATTCTTATCACGAATTCATATATTCATGTGGTAACAAGAGTATAAAAACATAAAATTACCTTATAAATTAAAAGCATAAGTATCACATGTATGCGTAGTCCAATTCATGAAATCATTCATCGATCTGAGTAAAAACTAAGTGCATAAATCAATTTTGCGAGCCGTCTCATTGTAAAATCTCATTTTTACAATTTCATAGTTTCAGCTTACATTTGTTAAGTTTGTACAACATGGCCATTAATGTAGCGATAAGTTGTACAACTCGCTAGAAAATCCAAATTTTTTGATCTGATACAACCAAGACATAAATTCATTCAACAGGCCTACAAACGGTGCAATCTAGAGCAAAATAACACCAAGTTGAACCAACGGTCGCTACGTTTATTGCTTTCTTTAAGAAACATCGGGCGAAAATTTCAATTGCTCCTGTAACACTACCTTATATAAGTTGGCCTTGCTATCAGCCTCACATATGTTCATCAGAGTATACCAACGAAGGACGAGTTAATACAAGGAGATAGCGAGAAAACTACTCTAGAAAAATACACGCACAATGGCAAACAGGAACAAATGTACAACAAACACATAATTTTTGACAATCAGTACAGTTCGCATTTATATTAACGAGCAGCTTATTAGATTTGTCTTCGTTTGTACTACATATCGATGGCTGAGTGGAAGATCAAACTATCTCGGCAGCCAGTTCAAAAACGCCCTTTCTCAGAAAACTTTTCAAAAACGCCCTATTTCAGAATTTTATTGAAAAATACCATATTTCAGAATTTTATTGAAAAACACTCTATCTCAGAATTTTGTTGA